GATAAAGCTCTAATTGGTTTTCTTTTGGAAATATGTTTCAAATTCACACTGAATGCATTAATGACTGTAAAGCATGTCTCTGTGTCAAAATCGTGATTAAAATCGAAATCACAAAATTTATCAAAGAAATCGCGGTATGTTTTGTCAATATCGCACAGCCCTAAATCAAACCCCAATAACATATTTGTTTAGAACTGTTTTGGACTGTTTTCTTGTAAACTGAGCTTGATCTGTGCATATATCACCCCTGATTCAGACAAGACTTTCTCATGGGAGATAGCAAAATTATGAATACAGCACTCAGCTTTTAGCCGAAAGCAACAATTTTAAGTTGAAACTGTCTTAATGATGGATTTGTTTCTAACTAACATGCAGCTTTTCAATTCACAAGATGTTAACTGATGGACTGGAGTGGTGTGGATTATTGTGATGTTTTTATCAGCTGTTTGGACTCTCATTCTGACGGCACCCTTTCACTGCAAAGGATTTATTAGTGAGCAAGTGACGTCACATCTGAAACCTTTTTGCCACATTTCTTGAAACCTTTTTGTCATGCGGTTCTGTCATTATTATTATTATTTTAAATAGTATTACCTTCATTACTGGGTTTAATTTTTAGCTTTTATTTATTTACAGTAAAAACTTATATTTTACTTAAAATGTATATGTTATAGTTTTAGTTAACAATAACCCTGCCTCAAAGGTCATCATACCTGAACGATCATGTCCTGCCTGCCACAGAGGACACACAATGGCACAGGTGTCCCACATAAAAACATCAGAGAACGTGACGCCCCACGGCAGGAGAAACCAAGGAGGAGTTGAGCTACTCTCACACTACAACTGTCCCTTACCACCCTTTTATAGGCCACGTCAAAAACAATGTGTGTGCGTGTGACATGGAAAACATAGCAGTTGGTCCCTGAAGCCTGTGCACATTTCCATGGGCATGTCCAGAAGAGGCCTGGCAGAAGAACACACATCCATGAGAGCCACAGGGCCAATCCTTTTATAGAGCACACTGGCAACTCCTTATGTAATCTACTACAGGCACTGTTTGAATGGGGTCACTGAATTGCAAAGCTTTTCTCAGGCCAAGATCTACTGCAAACTGGGCCAGTGGAGTCCAGACTCAGAAAAGACGGTTTAAGCAAATTGTATTGGGGGCAAATCCCTAATCCTTGGTTTAAACAGTTTTTCTCCGCTCTCTAATACGTTCTTGATGTGAGTGCAAGCTTTCCTAATAGATTTTATGTTTCCAGGTTTCATATAAAATGACTTGAGCTATACATCTTTCAGATGCTGTAATACGATGCAAGTAATATCACTAAATGATGAAAGTGCTAGACACACAGATTGGCTCTCTTGGGACTGAAAAAACAAAACATTTGCTTTAATTCTCCAGCGGGACTGCATTACGTCATGCCTTGCACAGAAGCTTCACAATTTACAAAAGAAGTAGCAGTCAATGGGTCATATGACATCCCAAAGTCAATTATTAGAACATTTATTTATTTATTAGTAAATGTATCTTTTACATCACTGCTTCTGAACTGCCTTGATTCTATTATCTCACACTTAATGCCACGGTCGAGAAAGACGCAAAGCACTAACAGAAAACTTAATAGCATGAAGGACAAGATATTAAGCATACAAAAAAAAGTGCTTGTTTGTGCAACTCTAGGTGACCCCTATACTTAAATAAATACTACACATAAATACATGTCATTAAAAAAATAATCTGTAAAATATTTTCTAATGGCTCTTATGAACAGATTATTTTTGGAGAATCAAGCACTCAATGTACACAACCTGTGTAATCCGATTCCTGAACAAATGACTTGAAGAAACTATCAAACTAAAATATCGTGACCAGTGTAGTCTGATTTTGGAATGAATGACTCGTCAGCAGATTGCTTTTGGTAAATTAAAAAAAACCACACAAGCTTACAAATTGCACAACCAATGTAGACCAATTCCTCAAGAAGTTACTTGTATGAACCGATTCTTTTAGCGAATCTAACTAACTTGATGACAAATGACTTGTATGGTTTAGTAAATCAAAATCATCCAGCTATAAACATTTACCTGACTCACTTACTAAACCTCCATTTATTCCATTCATCATGTTTAAATAGAAATGAACCAAGAAATACTACAGATTTTTTTAGTTAATCTAACTTGTAGAGCAACCAATTTCAATTCATGCACAAATGACTCTTATGAGTAAATCTTATTAGTAAATCAAAAACATCGACTCCACCAGTGCAATTTGTTTGTGTATTGGATGAATCTTATGAGCCAGTTCTCTTATAAAGAATCAAAACAGACACCTCTGGTTTCAGTTCCTGAATTCATTTAACTCACTTTCCGAGCTGAAAGTTAAAGGGATTGTTCACCCCCCAAAAAAATTGTTATCATTACCGTATTTACTCACCCTCAAGTTGTTTTAAACCTGTATGAGTTTGTCTTCCTGTTAAACACAAAAAAAGACTGAGTAACCAAACAGTTTCTGGTCTCCACTGATTTCCATAGCATTTTTTTCCATACTATAGAAGTCAAGGGGGAACGGCAACTGTTTGGTTACCCACATTCTTCAAAATATCTTCTCTTTTGTTCAACAGAAAGAGAAACTCGTACAGGTTTTGAACAACTTGAAGGTGAGTAAATTACAGAATTTAAATGTTTGGGTGAATTATAGCTTTAATAGTTTAGTCATCATCATACTGTACTCGAAATTATGCAAAAACTTTCTTTTTTTTATGTTGTGCATAAAACACGTAAGATTTCAATCACTGTGGACTTGTTCATATGCTGTTCATATGACAACGTGTAGTTAAAGATGCTCAATATGTGTTTTGTTTTAATCAAATGTGTTACCAGATTCGTTTATTATTGCTATATATTTACGACCAATTCATGTACTGCATTTAATTATCTGCTTTTGGAATCTGATCTCATCATTAGCAACAGACTGCTGGCAGCAGTAAATACAATATGAATTGTATAGTTATTTGATTTCCCCCCTCAAAAAATACTGAAAGAACCGCTACTGAACTAGAATCGTTCAGATAAATCAGATCCAGAATCGAGTCCCATCCTAAACTGGGTATGGATATTCAACAGAAGGATAATGGTTTACAGTTACATTTGTTACTTTTTCAATTAATAGCATCAGATGAATACTTAAACCCGGTGTAATCCCCAAACTACATCTAATCTTCTTCCTGCGTATTATCTGTAAAAGTGCTCTTCCTCAAGGAATCCGTCTGGAAGAGATCAAAACATGCGATTAAAGAAACCCCGTTTTTTACCCTCAGCTCGTCTCGTTCGGCCTCCCAGCGGTATTTCTCGGCTTGAAAGCGGCTCCACTCGTACTGGATGAAATGTAAGATGCCGGGCAGCGAGAGGCCCGCGTCCCCGTCCTGCGGATCTCGCGGCTGGGAGGATCCAGCCATCGCCCCGGTTGCCGCGGCGGCGGCTGCGGTGGGAGCGGGACCGAGCACAGCCTTCGGCCCGTTCGGATTGCGCCCCGCTCCGCTTCCTGCGGGGCTCTGGTTCGTTCCTCCCGCCACCCCGCCGGATCTTTCCGCCTCCATCAGAGCGTTCGCGCAGTCGCCGGAGCCAGGAGGTGGAAAAACAGAAGAATAAGCCACTCTGTTGCTTGAAGTCTCCACCGAAGCCCTCTCCCGTTTTCCTGCCTGATACAGATAGGCGAGTACTCACACACACAGGAAAGTGCCAAATAGTGATCCACTCCTACTACGGAATGGCTGCAAACGCTACCCGCTCATAACTGCTCCCTATGAGTCATAAAGCTGGCTTCCGCAAGGGGGCGTTTGGCGGCTCCATAAGCCTGATCCTCCATTGAGGTCAATTCAAATCTCAAGACGTTTTTTTTTGTTTTAAATGAGACATTCGACTGCTAAAACGTATAATCTTTTAAATGTGTTGATTACAAAGATTTGTTGCTGACCTGCAAAATGTAAATCCACCTCAGCAATCTCTATATATCCTCCTGAGACCCAGCTATGGAGTTTTTGCCTCTGTAGTGGACATTATATTTTAGTGAATTTCTCTGAGACCTCACATGTCACAGTTTTAAGTCTGGATGTCCTGTACAGAGCACATTCAGGGCTTTCCAGAGATACCAAAGTGACGTGACATGTGGCCAAGAATGGGGACCCATACTCGGAATTAGTGCTCTGCGTTTATCCCATCCAAAAAAATGGCTGACATTAATTTAGTGATAAAATTGTACATCCTTATGGAAATATGATAATATTTTTGTAATTATAATTTAAATCTGATTAATTTTCAAATTGTTTGTCATAAATCAACATCTCAGGAAAATGTTATGGGGTTTCAAATCAAAATATTAATTCCTGTTATGAAACAGGAAATAATTTCATACATGTCCACTGTAGAGGACACCAGGACTAAAAGCATGTTTATTATACATTTTGGGAGACAAAAGAATTGAATAGGAAAACAAATTATATATCAATATTCTTATGAAATATTAGATATTATTATGAAAATCTGGCCAATTACTACTCCCATTATTACACTTCTTTTTTCAACATGCTGTCCCAACAGCACTTTAATATGCAAATTAGATACAGTGTATAGATAACATTGTGCTTAATGGGAAAACCAGTTTATGGAATTTTTGCACACATATTGCATAAAGCAAAATGGTATATCAAATCATTTTGTTATATATTTTATAACATAGTTGAGAACCATCCTTAAACAAAGTTAGTTATAAAAAAATCCTGAAACCTAAAAATTGATTGGTGATTTTAAAAAAAATCCCATTGTTTTTGCCTTTTCATGTCTACTCTTGTCATTTTATTTTTAGAAAAAACTGAGTCCTGGTGTCCTCTACAGAGGACATAGCATAACTTATGAATAAAATATCATTTTTCAAAAATGTTATTTTACAATTTTTTTCTTATGCTCTAAACAATGTAATGACATGAAAAAATACTAAATTCACAAAGCTTTTCTCAGGAGGATATATATATATAATTTATTTATTTATTTTTTAAATACGAGTCCAAGCATCACGAATGGCTGTGATTGGTCCATCCTGACTAGTGATGAGAAAAGTAAAAGGTGTCACGTGACGCATCTCTTTGTAGTCGCATGCCTGCTTTAATTTTTTTTCTGCTGTAAAGTTATTTTATATGCTCTATATTGTCAATTGCGAAACTGAATTTTCAATTTTTTGTATTAATTTATTTTTTTTTTTTCAAAATTGCAGAGAAATTCATTTTAAAATAAATATTTTTATTTTATTTAAATCAATGTTACATCAAATAAATATATAAAATATTTCCACACTTAATAAAATAACTAATAATCTTGCGTACAGATTACACTGAAGTAAAAAATACACAGTAGTGAAGCGTTAAAAATAAAAATATTTTTAAACCCATCCTGTTACAGCTAAGCCCCGCCCATGTGAGAAGGGAAGTTTCACGTTACCTGTCATTCTACCCGCTCGTTCTATTTCTATGGGATTGATCGAGGCGACCCAGTTGTGCGAGCTTCCTGCTACATTGTGGTCTTCTCTCGGGCTTCCTTTGCTCATTTCCGAATTAATCATGGGGAAGAATAGCAGGAATACCGTGCAAACAATGTGCTGATGAGGAAAATGTTGAATCAGCCTTAAAATGTTAGTTCTTACAATCGTGATTTCTACCGTTTTGCATAATGAAGATGCGTGTCATTGTGTGTGCATGCTTTCAAGATCAGAGGCTGCGTGAATCGATGGTTGTAGGCTTGTTTGGGTTTCATTTTGCATGCATGTTCTATATTTGGAGGAACTGTCTCAAGTGATCAAATGATTTCTCAAATGCTCAAATCTACAGCTCATCTTTAATTGGGACAGCAGTTTGGAACATCTCTTTAAATATTTCTTGGTCATCTTTGTTGGCTAGGCTTAGTAGTGATGACTAATAGGCTTTTTGCAATACAAACTTGATCTGAATTTCCCAAACAATGACCTTGTACATTGAAGAGCTCAAAGTTCATTTGTTTATTAAAATGTTCTTTGTTTTGTCTCCATGTTTAGCGTTTTTTTTTTTTATTTATGGACTGCAGTGAACTAAAGGCACAACTAAAGGGTCTAATATGGAATATGTCCGTCAGTCTTTTTTCCTGGATGGGATCAGCTGACACATCAGGAAGACATCAGCAGAAACTGATCTGGTCAAAGAAGATGCTTCATCAAATATTCAGCTACCAAACGCTTTCCACTTTGCTTTTTTTGGCCAGACCAGAATGATAATGTTCAAGATTTCAGGAATTCGGACAGGTTATAAGAGTCAAGATTTTCTGTCCTCTTTCTATTTGAGATTTCACTTACTGTATGCATCATAAAAGTGTTTAACCACAAGAGCCATAATGCGTATCAGTTTTTGCCAGGCTCTGTTAACAGGAGCAATAATTTTGAATTTGCTCATCCTATATTATGTCTCACGGGCCCAGCAGCAGATGATGGAGAAGCGTCGGGAACAAAGTAAAGGCTTAAAGAAAGCCTCTCTGCCTGTGGCAGGACTGGGAGCTATGGGTAATCTGGTAGGTGGAAGCATTGTTGGAGGCGCCAAAATGGGAGGCCTTGAGGGCAACATGCGTGGTCCACGTGTCACGATCCTTGTTCTTGAATTTGAAGACTTTGAAAACTACGTTGGTGATGTTGCACGCTCCTTTTTGCGCCAGAGACCAGAGTTGCCCTTCCTCGCTGTAGCCGAAAGTCCACCGTACCCTCCTCTGGCGCTTCCAGAGGGAGCCCGGCTCCTGGTGTTGTCGCCGAGCCCTGACCAGCCTCCACAAACTCACCGTCCCGAGTTCAATGTGCAGACGGAGTTTGTTTTGTTAGTTCCAGATGGCGTCGAGCTGGACCACGGCCGACAAATCGAGCGTCTCATTCGGGAACTGGAAGGGGAAGGTGACGGGCCGGTCCGACTCGTTGCCGCCCCCGTGCTGACCCGCTCGGCAGTGCAGTGCCTGCACCTTCGGGTGAATCTGCGGGAATGGACCGCGACCTACACCCCTGCGGCCTCAGGGAGCAGCGGCAGCGTCTGCACAGCCCTGCAGGGAGACGCCGTGGTTCTTATCCGCACCGAGGACCTCTTCAATCTCTCGGTTCCCTTAGGGCGCCCCCTCATGTCTTCCTTGTTCATCCAAACTTCTCTGCGCGGTTGGAAGGTCAAGCTTCTTGAGGGACCTTCGTTCTCTGCAAGTCATCGCCCGCTGTTTATCTCAGCGCACAACCAGTGGAAGGCGGACAGTCGCCTGAAAGACGCCACCAATCACCTCATGCGTAGCTTCGGGCTGAAGCGCGTGGTGCTGCCTGATGGTCGGGATCAGTGGTTTGGCTGCAGTAAAGAGACCGCGCGATGTTTCGGCACAGTGCGTGACGATACACCGGAATACCTCTACCTAGAGCGCTGGACTCCTCCTTGCTGTATGCGCTCCCTACGAGAGACCACTAAGTATGTTATCAATATCTTGGAAAGCTCTGGTGTGCGTTACTGGCTGGAAGGGGGTTCCTTGTTGGGAGCAGCCCGACACCAGGATATAATCCCATGGGACTACGACGTGGATTTAGGCATCTACTTGGAGGACATTCCGAATTGTGACTACCTAAAGAACCTGGACTCCGGCTCACTGGTGGATGCTAATGGCTACGTGTGGGAGCGAGCGGTCGAGGGTGACTTCTATCGTGTGCAGTATAGTGAAGCCAACCATTTGCATGTGGACTTGTGGCCCTTCTACCCCCGCAATGGAGTTATGACCAGGGACACTTGGACCGAGCACAAACAAGACGTGGAGTTCCCAGAGCATTTTTTGCAACCCCTGGTGCCAATGCAGTTCGCCGGCATCACCGCTTATGGTCCGAACAACCACCGTGCCTTCTTGGAACTCAAGTTTGGGGAAGGGGTTATTGAGAACCCCCAGTATCCGAACCCTGCCAAGAAAAGACTGGACAGGAGTCGCACGTTAGGACCATAACAAGCAGTAACTCGATGTGCCACAATTCCTCAACACTGCATTTGTTGCATTTCTGACATTTTAAACTTTGTAGAGTATTACTATCAGACTGAAGGTTTTGAACTGTGTCCGATCGCTTGAACGTTCGCATTTCTTGCCGATTTTATTTATTGTATGTGTGTTGTGGTTTGGGGAGTCATGAGTCCCAAAAGTAGTCTAAATATACTGTATGTAACAATGGTAATAAAAGTTCTAAAATCTAAGGCTGTAATATTTCACACTGCAGCATCCCAGGAATTCACAAACAACGGTCAAATCTTTTTTTTTTTTTTTTTGTAATACATGAACATCAATATATCAGTTTCTGTAGCTATTAAAGGTAACATTTTATTTTAAGGTGTCCATGTTACATGTACCTACTATTATAATAACAATACATTATGCATAATTACATGCAAGTAACCCTAAGCCAAATCCTAAACCTAACCATATAGTAAGTACATGTTGTTAATATTGCACGGTACTTAAATGTGTAATTACACTGTAACAAGGACACCTTAAAATAAAGTGCAACCCAATTAAACACTGAACAAACGTTAGATTTTTTAACTGATTGCCAGACAAACACCAGTTTTAAAGAGCCTATATCGCTTATTGCATTAGTGCATCATTTACAGTAAGTGCTGGCATATGGAAATCTGATTCATGTTTGTAGGTCCACAAGTGAATCATTCAGTTAACAACCCAGGCAGCTCATTAAAACCTTGAAAGGACTTCACTGCTTTTCAACTTAATGGTCATTATTATACCACCATGAACTTTGTAGAGTGTAGGATGTTTTTGTTGACGTGGTGACACTGGTGTACGCTGATGTTGAAAGAGGCTGTAATGACCTTTTAACAAGTTTTTTTTTTTTTTTTTAATCTGAAATGGTTTTCCTGTGTAAATGGTTGTAAATGGAAAAGGTTACATAAAAAAAGCCAGTGAAAAGAAGCTACTGTTTTATGCACATTCACTTTATTAATATTTTCACCATGTTGCATGATAATAACTGTACTTTTGATGTTTTGAATTGTTTTGACTGTCGACTGTTTGACCTCAATTTTGTTTTAATGTAACTCATTTTTGTTTAGTTTTTTGTTTTGTCTTGGTGGTTCACAAATATACTATGTAATGTTCATTATGTAAATGGTCATTATGACCACCAAATATTTAACAAACAGCATAACTCCAAACTGAGACTTAATATTTCAGTGTATTTCAGATGTCTGGAAATAAACCATCACACAGAATTACTTTGAGAGTTTTTATTGTAAATATTACAGTAAAATGTTGAATAAACCACAAGGTGGCGCAACAGGACATGAAGTCTTCAAACATGCTGGACTTTGTTACTGCAATGCTACCCAGTTTGTACAGTATCATTACTGCACAAACCTTCAAAGCCTCCCTAAAAAAGTGGCTTTTGTTTACAGAGGTGCATTTTAAGTCTTCAGGATCTGATAAGGTCTGCTGGTATCTTGTGAAACTAAGTCTTGCATCGCCCTAAAGGCGTGTATTTTGCAATACTAACTGCTGACTATACATTATCTTGCTTATTAAACGGCCTCTTACCAAATAAATGAACGCACTGACTTAATTTGAGTCGTAACATTTCAGTTAGAGTTGAATATTGCGCAATATGAGATGTGAAACTAGCACAGCTATGTAAGAAACCAGCAACCATTATACAAAATGTCCAAGCACAGAAGGCCACAATTAACCAGACAGTACACCAGAGAGCTGTATAATAAACATGATATAAATATGATAACCAAACAAGTGGTTCAGTTATCCTAGTTACAAAATCTTCTGGGACTCAATGTGTACCTCATTTTAGCAACTTGAATTCATAATAAAGAGAACATTACTGCTGATTTATTTAAAAAAAGACTTTATTCTACAGTCTGTGTGGAGTACATTCACTAGTTTTCTTAACCGTACTCTTTGGCATCAAGCAGCCCATTTATGACACAACCACGCATTAAACTCGCACACAGACTACGCTACAGCCGCCTGGAATGAGAAGCCTTTACAGTACTGGCTTTTAAAGGAGTGATGTCAGTCATGCAGAACATCTGTGAGATTTGAAATAATACACCTGTGATTTGAAATACAACTTGAGCATAAAACAGAACAGAAATGAGAGACCGTTAATTATGCAGATTACACGCACCAAAACCCCATATTTTAAGAATATATGTTGTTAAATTAATATAAAAAATTAGAAATGTTTCTTTGGTCAGATTTAACCTTTCATCGATCAACTAGAAGTCAAACTGATTTCTACAAAAATGGGCTATTAAGTCTTTCTTCTCATCACTGTGACAAACATTTGGTCAACACACAGTACAATGGCAATTGTCTCTCACCCTGTCGCCCGATACCTTCCTTCTGCTGGTGTGTTTAGGTTATATATATATATATATATATATATATAAACTGAATAAATAATCCAGTTCAACTACTGATTACAGTTAAACATTCACCAGTTAATGGTGTTAACAGAATATGACCCATATATCATTGTGCTTACGTTCCTGTCTGACCTTAGGATACAACTTGACCCCAAAGAGCCTGCCGTGAAATCTAATAGTAACTGCATAAAGACAAAGACGCAGAAGGTAAGATGTTGTTTCTTGACTGTCAGTCAGGCTTCCTACACCATTCTTTTGGCTCCTCTAGTAGCAAGTTTAGTGAAGGTATTAGCACCTGTTAGATGGACCTACATCTGAGGAGCCTGAGGTGGTATAAAGGGAATCAGCATGAATGAGGTATTTCAGCATAACGGACCATAAAGCCGATTCTGCGGATGCTTTGGCTTTTTAGGAGATGTTTTGCATGAAAAAGGTGTTCTGAGGTTTAACTCAATAGCATATAATCAGAACTATTAGGGCATGTGTAATAATATAGTAATATAAATAGATTATTTTAAAAGGCCGGACTGAGTTTTTTTTTTTATATAAAAGGAGTAAAGCAAATATAAAAAGAGAAAAAATCAAAAATGTCTGACCAGCATCTAATAAATAATTGTTCAAGCATTTTTCCATCTAAATGTGCATACGTTTTGGCAGACTCCTTTCATAAAGAGCTGGGCATAGAGGAGGGTCAAAAGGATGTAGTCTTTGTCCTGTCTTAATCTAAACCTGTATCTCTCTCACGGTCACTGTGTGGATGCAGAGATTGATTTAGTGAGATCAGACAGGTCGGGAAGGAAAGTGTGTTGAAATATTGTGCAAGTCTACATGACAGACTCCTTTTCACAGGGTTTCGGTCCAGCGACCTCTTCCAATTCAAGGTTTCCCTCTTTTTCGATGAGCGGAGAACTTTCTGGCCTGAAGGCGGGGTCTTCTTCCTCCACTCGCACTTTATTTAGCTCCGCCCCCTCTTTACTGGAAGTGCGGTCCACGAAATACTGCAGAAGACCTGCTCCATAGGCGTCGCCTTCAACATTGATGACCGTGCAAGTGCGGTCGCTAAATGAAGAAAAAAGACAGAAAAGAAAAATTATCTTCACTGTACAAAAATAATGAGGACATGAAATTGATACAAGTAGCAATAAAAAAGACAATTATCCTCGACTACTCTTGATTTCAAATTTGTTTGTGCAAATACTTCAAATGCAATACAGTTATCTAATTTTATAAGATATCAGATGAATAATATATATATAATTATTAAAATAATTACTAAAATACAATCATCTCATCATATTAAATTTGTTTAAGTTTATTAATTTTATAAGTCATTACATATACATATATATGTGAATGTATATATGTTAGCGCACTGGCCCCGCACTCAGACCTGTGCGTCATCTTACATTTCATACAATTGACTGCTGACAAATATGATGCAAGATGCATCATATGATGCAATATGCAACTCCATAAATACAGTTATGCCCTAAAAATTCAAGATATTGGGGCTAAAAAATGTCCCTGTATGAGTTTTTGTCTCATATTTATATCATATGATAAGCGATATCACACAAGCAGTGAGAGCAATATCACACGAGGGCTGTTTTTGTCACGAAGAACACGAGTGTGTGTATATACAGTATATATATATATATATATATATATATATATATATATACACATATATATACACACACATACACACACACAATCATCTTATCCTCGATCACTCTTAATTTCCTAAAAATTTTTAAGTTATCTAATTTTATAAGAAATAACATGAATACATACATATTAAAATACAATCACCTTATCCTCGACTGCTATTTATTTCAAATACTTCATAATAATAATAATTAGTACTATATACTATATTATATTATTATAGAATATTTAAGTATTTGTACAAGCATGCACTATTTGTTGTATTGACATTATTTAATTATTTTATTGTTTCAATTATATATTGACTTTATATTTTAATTTCCAGTAATTTTCTTTAATAATAAAATACTATATTACTGAAATGAAAATGTATTTATTCAAATTAAACTGTCAACTTACAAGTCAAAACCATCAGAATTAATTAGTCTTTTTCTATTTATGCCCCCACCCCCCTACTATCCAAACTCCAGCTTTACCATCTTTCTCTTTGGCTCACAAAACATCTAAACCAGATACTCACACAAGCCAGTCCACAGCCAAGATGAGGGACAGATCGTTGGTGGGCAGGCCTATTGACTCCAAAATGATGGCCAGCGTCAGCACCCCTCCAGCAGGGATCCCAGCAGCACCCACACTAGACGCCGTCGCAGTCACACTACAGACAGATAAAAAGTCAGTCAAAGCCAACGTCTTCCAATCACAGCAGAGTATGGAGGTGGATGAACGTCATCCAATGAACTCACAGGATGGTGATGACCTGGACGAAGTTCAGTGGGATTCCGTTCAGCTGAGCGATGAACACCGCAGCTACGCACTGGAAGCAGGCGGCTCCGTCCATGTTGACGGTCGCTCCGATGGGCAGGATGAAGCGGCTGATGTGCTTGGACACACCGTTGTTCTCCTCCACACATTTCATCATAAGGGGCAACGTGGCAGAGCTGATGAGAAAATCTGATGGTTATTTCCTGCTTAATTATGCATTTGCAAAATTCTTTTAATAAATCTTCCATTTTATCTTAATGTAAAGAATATTTTAATAATCTAAAGAACCTCTTTCCACTATAAAGAACTGTTTGTGCAATGGAAATGTTCCCTGGATGTTAAATGTTCTTCATGGAACCATAGATGCCAATAAAGAACCTTTGTTTTTAAGAGTGTAAATAGCTGCAATCATTTACCTAGAGGACGTTCCAAAGGCAGTGGCCAAAGCGGTGACCAATCCCAGCAAGAAAGTGTATGGGTTTTTCCGTGTAATTACAAAGTAAATGAGCGGGAGGACAAGGAGACCATGGATGGCATGGCCAATGACGCAGCAGGCAATGTACTTCCCCAGGCTGGCGAACAGCAAGCCAACATCCTCCATTTCTACAATCTTAGCAGCAACCAGGAACATAATACCCAGTGGTGCATACCTGTAGAAAACAAAAAGTACATGGAATGGAAGTGAAGAGACGAATGCATAGGACACCACAATTCAAACACTGGAAAAAGCACATGATGTTCCCTTACCACATGATCCAGGAGACCAGCACCATGGTGGCCTCATTGAAAGAGTTGAAGAACTTGATAAGGATCTCTCCTTCCTCTCCAAGTTTCCTCAAGGCCACACCAAACGCCATGGCAAAAACGATGAGACCCAGGATGTTCATTCCATCCACTTCTTTGCCAACTGGAGTCTAACCACAAAAATAAAAATGACTGAATTCACATAAAAAAAAAGAAATATTATTAAACCACTCATATTTCATACATACATTTATTACATTATAATTAGACTAGTATACTGTAATAATAAATTCCTACATTATACATGTATTTATAGAAATCTGGACTTTCAAGAAAATTCTCTGAAGGTATTATATCTGGGACTTGGTACCTTTTCCACAGTGAAGGTGGTCAAGTTGGTCGAGCTGGTCATATTTTTAATCTTGTAACCAGTGGCATACTGTGAAGGAGAAGAAATGTTTAGAATAACCTAATAATCACACATCACATATAAAACATAAAACCAAAAGTTTAAACAAATGCTTGTTAAACCCACCGACTGAAATGCAGCTGCTACCAGGTTCGACGGGAAGATGTTTCTGAAAGAAGACGACAGGGAGGAGTTATCTGTATGTCTGATAAACTCTCAAATCAGACTTCGACTAACGAATTAGTCCATTACACTGAACAAAACCCAAATAGTTAACTTCAGAAGTTATTACTAAGAAGTCTGTCCACATGTTTCACAGTCAAAAAAGAAACAGACTTAGAAACCGTGTTAGTGGGTTAAAGATATTCACAAGTTCAGTTTAAACGAGTACAAAGACATTTTTATTTTAACTTCTGAAGAGAAATAACGTAGACACAGTGGACAAGGTTGAAACTTTCTAGTGCGTTTGCATCAAACGCATGTGCTCGCACACTATCAAACGGAGTACACTTTGGAAGTTTGGCTGTGTGGACACATGCAAAGCATTCACATTAAAACTAGGGATGTAACAGTATTATCAATATTGTGGTATAGCGTTAGTTTTTTTTTTTTTTTTTAAGTACATTTAAACTGCTTATTCTGAAATAAAAGGTCTTTAAAAGTTGTGTTTTGGGCCATTATGCTTTGGCATCTGTCAAACGAACTAAAACCAAAAGCACAATATGGCTTAATCCCTTTATCAAGTCTTTTTTCGCTGTGTGTTTCAAAGTGAAGCGCGCATTTCGTTCAGCTCATGATCTGGTGTTTTCCTCGCCACAGAATGGCTCTGTTCACAGTGAATGCAATTAACTTTTTTTTTCATGTGCTGGGAGTTTATCGGGCATTTGGGAACGCACCGGCCACCAGTTATGCTTTATTTTCACATTTGCGTAATTCCCAACATTTTAATGGGCATATGATTACAGCATCTCACTAGATTTGTAGTGAGATGCGTTTTTGTAAGCCTGTTTTCACTGAAACTGGAGTTTTCCGTCAAAATTAAAGCTAGTGGTTTAAATAGGTAACGTTACTGCAGTCCAAATTCAAAATATCTCTTTCAAGTGTAGAAAATGGGAAAGTAGTATTGTAATTTCCCTACTGTAGTGTAAAGCAAAAATAATATAACAATGAAATATTCATTTTCATTTATTTTACAGTGCAATTGTTTTACAGTATATGGCTATTACTGTCTAAATATACTGTAAAATTATTATTATTATTATATATTCTCATTTGTTTGGCTTCCAAAAACACAAGTCTGAATGTAATTTAGACTGAGACAGTATATCGCAACTAAAAAGAGGGTTGAGTCCCTAAAAGGTTTTCTTAGTTAAGAACATGGGTTGGAGCTCTTAATTTTGTACTCTCAAAGTGCAATAGATAGAAGAATTTAACTTTAAAATGTACAAAATTTTCTTTTTTTTCCCCCCAAGTCTTCATTTTTTTAATAATCGCAATAAATATTGTACCGTGGACTTCATATTGAGGTATTATCTTATCGTGAGATTTTTATATCGTTACATCCCCAATAACAACTAAAGTATGCTTTGGCAAACACTGTCCAGAACAAGGTAGTGAGAGAACAAAGATCCAATTCTACTCTTCACAGATTTAGTCCACTGGCACTAAAATCAGTGAAGAGTCCTCAGCAGCCAATCACTGAGCGGCCTGGCCTCACGAGGTGCCTCATGTGGAAATAACTTAAAGAATTTAGTCCGATTATATCCCTCCACTAATCCCAGTTCCACACATTACCTCCTCTATCCCTATAACCCCATTCCCTCCAATGGAGATAGGCACTAGGACCTGCCTGGAGGTGAGGATTAATGACAAATGCAGACATTTATTCAGGAATATCCCAGCATCCCTGACCTTAATATGGTGTGCATACAAAAAAACAAGGAAGTCTTCAATCTGATGGAGTTATAATCCCTGGTATAAATCCTGTGTGCCACCCTTTCTCCAAGTAAAATCACAAAAGCAGCTGTGCTTGAGTTACATTTCCAAAAAAAAGCGCCATTACAGGCCGGATTCTGAAAACGTCTGGAATCTGTTGCCCATAGGGAGCTTTCCAATACATCGCAATCATTCCCGCTAACATCTAAAGAAGCCTGGAAGGTGTAAAGAGACTATTATATTTATAAAATAGTGCAGCTGGAGCAAGATGAGACTGGAAAACCGAGGGAAGAACAGCCTTAAAATTGCTGTGCTGTGCAACAGGCTGCATCCCAGACAGCAGGTCACTGCCAAAAACCAATGCCAGTGGTCGTTCTCTTCTCAAATTCCCTTCGTCTGAACATTGAGGTAAGTTAGAACTGAAGATACATGCGAAACCAGCATAGCAACACTAGTAAAACCAGTGCATGCCATTGAAACATGTCATTATTGACACATTCAAATGTTGTCACTGGTTTTCAAAGCATCACATTCAAATCCAGCTGATGGGCCGAGCATTTTATCCAACATTTACAACTACTAATACCACACAATGACAATTTCATGACTCAATGCATTCCAAGTATGGCTTTAAGTTGTGATCGAAGTTCCTGTTTTCTACGTAGGTGTGTAAATAGTGAGACATGTCAAACAGGACCTCCTTGAAACGTGGCGCTCCACACACCCTACCAAAGCTTTCGTCAAAGATTTATCCTAAGTTCAGTGTTTGTTGACATATTAAAAGTAACTATTAACAGGCAAATGTACCTACACTCTGACTTTGCCCTGTCTAAAATAAACTTTCACAAAGTTTACACAAAAAAGGCCATGATTGGGGAAATTGTGGGTTTCGCACGGATTGTACACAAAGCACATGCTAATTCATTAAAGTAACAATTTACCCAGAAATCATTTACTGACCCTCATGTCATTCTGAACTCATCTGACTGCCTTTCTTCAGTAAAGCAAAAAAAAATAAATTTAGCAGAATGTCCAAGATGCTCTTTTTTTATACAATGAAAGTGAATGGTGATCACAAGCTGTAAAGCAAGATTTTCAGCGAAGCGCCTTAAATATTAGTCTGTTCCACACATATACCAATCAGTATAGCTTGAAAGATGTCAAATGTAGTGCATGAGTGGTGTTGAAACATTATTATAGTGCTTTTCACTTTAACTGTATAGAGAAAAAAAAAAAGTAGCATGAACATTCTTCAAAACGTCTTTTGTGATCTACAAAAAAAGAAGGTCATGAGGGTTTGCAACAACAAGACTCACTAAACCTTTAAGATAAATTATATATTTTGTGTAACAAGGCAAGGAGGGTTTGTTCCAAAAATTTTGTTGTTGTCAGGGGTCCTTCCATAGCACTGAACCTGATAAGGCAATGCAACTTCAGATAACAGCAAGTCTAAACTTGTAGAAACAGAAAAATCTAATGTGAGAGAGTTAACTAAACATACATTAAGTCAATGCAAACGTAATATACATGCCAGAGCCCGCTGTATGTAGACTTTCTATAGAAAGACCATCCAACTGCGTGCTTGCCAGAGTGTGAAATTAGCAAGGCTCCACAGTGGTCCTTGTGATCGTGTGGCAGGATTTAGTCACGGTGAGACCCCAAGAGAGAACCCCCTTTAGATGGATGACACAAGCCACATCAGCTGCCTAATTAACCCTGCTTCTATTGTGCATGTCTGCATGTGTTTGCACGTGTGTTGCCCTCATGTGGCAGGCATAAGCCGCCTCATTGACTTCTCCTGGAGACACAGCCAAAGAAGAAACATTACAAATGTTTCAGTTTGGCTTTAAATTAGGATTCTAATTATGGAACAAAACCACCTAATTTACGTAAACTGCAACTCATTTTAAAAATAACTTACTTCAGAATTAACTTACTTCACCCAAAAATGAAAATTCTGTCATTAATTACACACCCTCATGTCGTTTCAAACTCGTAAGACCTTCGTTCATCTTCGGAACACAAATTAAGATATTTTTGATGGAATCTGAGAGCTGTCTGACCCTCCCATAGACAGCAACGCAACTGAAATGTTCCCAAGTCCAGAAACGTAGCAAGGAGATCGGTAAAATAATCCATGTGACATAAACCGTAATTATACGAAGCTAGGAGAATACTTTTTGTGTGCCAAACAAAGTAGTTTCGCTTTAACAACGAAAAACACAGCGGCCTAGTGTGAGCGGAAGCCCCGGCTTAGCGTGCACTGAGACCAGGATAGAGTGAGCTGAGGCCGGGCTAGCGTGAGCCGAAGCCCCGGCTTAGCGTGCGCTGAGGCTGGGATAG